TTCCAAGTAGCAGTACAATATCAAAAAAGGAAAGTTGAGATGACTAGTAGTTCTTATACATAGATATTTTGTGTATAGTGATGGAAGATTCCATATGAAGCAATATAGAAGAATGGTTAGAAGAGAGGGGGCTCATAATATTGAAGTGAGATAAAATAAAAGAGGTTATCTAAGTATTATTAAAAAAGGCTTGATCTAGAAAACATTTGATAAGGTTATTAGTTAGTTAGTTGAACTAACTATAAATAAGACCATCATGAGGCAAATTAATTAGTCCAGCATTGCAGATATAATTATTAAAATCCATGAGCTTAGAAGGATGATGGGGGATCCCATAGATTTTCTCAAAATTATTTCTCACACAATTAAAGTCTTTCATGATGATCTAGATTTCAAACATATACTTGGAAACAATGGCAGGGTAGTTAAGGTCTTGGCTAAGAGTTGCCAATGGCACCAATAGAGTTGAGGGAAGATAAAATATTTGAGATGATATGGAGGTCCAATAAAAAGTTTCTTGATACAACTACTATCTCACAGGCGAGAGTTACTAATTTTGGAAGATAGATTGGGGCTATGGGAGCCGAGATTTGGGACAAGAATGTGCTTCATGTGCAAATGTCTTACCAACATCACATGAGAAGGGTTTCCATTTATATAAAATATGTAATTTTACTATATTCTCCCTTAATTAAATACGTATTTCATCTCGCATGATAAAGAAGGTGGAAATTTATATACTAACAGGAGAAAAATAAGCTTAGATGTTTTTGTAAAGACTTCATCTTTTGTCTAATGTCAAAAGGTCTATCTCATAACCTATAATATCACAAATTGATCTCATCATGCTTAAAAAATTAATTGAATCATCTGTATGTGTCAGAGAGAGAAATGTTACATAAGGCGTATGAGAAGTAAGAAATCCTTTCCAGTTCATCAAAGAATATGCATCAAATGAAGTGGGTGAGAGGGAGAGGAATTGCGAGGGAACCATGGTGTAATAGCCGAACATGGACTGGCCAATCCAGGTGTTCCTCGAGACTGAAATCGCACACGAGAAACATGACCTTGCTGCATGTAGCAACCTCTTTTCCCCCCTTTTGTTCGATCTCTCTCTCCAAATCAAATAAATCATGTAATTTTTTCCCTATTCAAATCATTCTCCTTGATTACTAATTTTGTCTCTCCATTTAAGGTGAAGAGAACATAGGGCATCATATTTTCCTTCTTTTAGTAGCCGCCAAACTCTCCTTTCTCCTCCCTCTTCTTTTATTTCTCTCCACAACAACCACCAAATTTATATTTCCCCTACTTTCGCTCTTCCTAGTTGTGTTTTCCTCGAATTGACACTATTATTAGGGAGGTTTCCCTTCTTACTTCCATCTTTCTCTTGAACCGAGTTTGAGCCCTCCTCCTGTCCCCATTGACATAAATCATTAAACAAGGGTCAGTTAATAGTACTATTATTGTCATTTGAATTTCTAGATTTGATTGGTAGCAACAGATCTTAATTAACGATACTTAAAAAAAATTATACTTTTATTCATGCGTGCATGTTTTCTTTTTATATTGTGATTTAATTTATAAATTTTAGAATCTAGGTTATTTTGGATGATTTTGACTTAATTTTTTTATGGTCTAAATCATTAAAGCTTGATTAATGATATTCAATTTAAGCTCAGATTGTGTCATCTTTAGGTATCAAGTATTGGAATCTTTCAATGTTATTTTTGAATGCTAAATTAGGATTTTATTTAAAGGACCTTCAAGTTGTTATCTAGGTGGTGTTATGGATTTAACATCTTTTGATTTTGGGTTTTGTGTCACTCACCTAGAGGTAAGAAATTATTGTTTATTTTGTTATAAACGTACCCTTCCTTATTAAGGGCATAAAATCAAGTTATTGTTAATAGGATTTTGATAACTGATTATGTAGCCAATCCTGTCAGTGCAAACTCTTTTATTTTAAGCATATTCTCATATCTTATTAATAAGTTTTCTGAATATACTTGATTTATTGCCGCATAAACTCTTATATATCAATTCTTACATTTTCATGCACGTGCTCTTATTGAATGTAATAAATGTTATATTCACAAATCATATCTTATTATGAGATAACATTTGTCATATTGAAACTAGAAAATCAAATAAAAAGTGCTTATAAAAAATTAAAAAAAAATAATATGCTTGGGTGCATTGAAGTGTATGTTGGCAGAACCTTATTAGTTACTAGCTAGCTAAGTTGACAGACAATCATAGTGAAGACTCTATAGGAAATCACTAAATTTTCTTTGGTAGATGTTTACCTTCCCAATGGCAGGTATTTGATAAACCAATTATAGTTATATACATTTGTATATATAAACATATAATTAGATGTGAATTGAAATTAAATAATTACTAATGAGCTATTTTGAACTATGATGATACCTAGTGTAATTGTATTTATAACCATTGAAAGGATTTGACATTTATAATAGTTTTACATACATATTTATATTATTAGTACATTAGAATCTAGTGTAAGAAATATAACATGTCTCATGGCTACTTTGATTTAATAACTAAATGTTACTATTTTCATCTTTTGGTTCTTCATACTATAAGTTTCATTTCTTTGTCATTTATGTTATGATAGATATGAGTTGCTTGTTGAGTTTGATTTAACAAACTCAACCTATTGTCTCTTTTTATAACTATATCATGTAAACGTGTTTAGCGGACCACCAACTCGAAGATAAATCTATCAGTAATAGAGATTATAACAGATACTTTTATATATTTAATAAGGCTTTTATATTTTATTTTATGGGTTGGAAAGTTTTTTTCATGTTATTTATTCTAGTAATATCATTTTTATTTGTACCAATATTATTATTTGAATTTTTTATTAATGAAATAAATATTTATTTTAATACAATTAATTGTATTATTGATTTATGTATTTTTTTTCTTTTATGAGGGGAGCGGGCGATTTTGACGGAACTTAAGCGATCGGTGGTTCTCTGTCGGCCTTGTATGGCCGACGGAGGTCCTTGGTGCATCTCTGTCATTCTTGACGGAGAGAAGAACTGGTTGAGCAGAGAAGAGCGGAGATCAATCTCGGTACTCTTGGGTAATTTTGTCGGATCATTACGATCTTGGAGTATTGGTGATGCTATGGAGTTCAGTTGATCTCCATCTGCTTGAGGTTCATATAATGTCAGAAAGAAGAGCGGTTCTGAAGGAACGTATGCGATTAGCAGATCTCCGTCGGCCTTGTATGGTCGTTGAATTTCATTAGTGCGTCTATGTCGTTCTTGAAGGAAAAAAGAACAGGATGAGAGGAGAAGAGCGGAGAAAGATCTTGGCGCTTTTGGTGATTTTGTCTGATCATTACGATCTTGGTGTTTTCGCGATGCTTTGGAGTTCAGTGGATCTATATCGGCCTAAAGTTCTCCTTCAGCTTGTTTTTGTGAAGGTGAGCGATTTAAAATCGATTTGGCGGAACAATTTCTGAGACGAGATGATCTTGGCTTTTTGTCGATCTTGGCAGAGATGATCTTGGTAATCCTGAGTGATTTTAATCGCGAAGGTTCTTTGATGAGGATATTGTTCAAGTCGAATTCGGCGCTTGATTTCTTGAAAGTTTTTGGTGAAAGTTCTGAGGCAATCCTAGTTGTGATTGCTTATTATTATGTTTTTGTTTTGGTTTGTACTAGTGGCATTGTTGGGGTAAATTTCTTATTTATGAACGTTAACTGGAGTTCGGGATTGCTTGGGTATATGGATTTTCTTGATTCCATAAATTGGCTTATTGAATTTGGAGCTGTTGTTTTTGCTTTGTCAACTTTGGTTGGATCATGAAAATGTTCTGCCCATGGATCGATCAGGTTGAGGAAGTTGTTGGTTTATGTTTTTAATGATGAACTGGTTGTTTGGTCACTTGTTTTTCATTTGCTCTTTGAAGATCAAGTCTTATTGGTTAAAGATTGAAGGATTTAAAGTTTTTCGATTTTTCTCTCGTTAATGTGAAGAGAGTGGTGATGATTATCAGTTTGGTTGGCTTTGACAATAATGAGGACAGATATTGGCTTCTTGAGGTGGTTGTCGGTCTTATGGATTTACATTGGAATATTACTGGTATTGTTCTTGCCAGCATGATGGATATGCTGGTGATTTTCAGTATGTATAACTTTGCTTGTGAAGAGGCTGACTCTTGGACTATTGAGGAGACAGTTGGTTTTTTTGCTTTGACATTGTTGATTGGTTCGTTCTTGGTGGATGTTGTCGGTTCTGTTGATGCAACATCAGAGAATTCTACTCTTGATTGGAACTTGTTGGACCCTAAGATTGATGGGGTTTTGGTTGATGATTGGATAGCCGGTTTAGTAGTTGTTTTTTTTTTTTTCTTGAAACTTGTTATCTTTTGCTTGTTTTGCTGTTAGGTTTCTTATAACTTTTTAAAATCATTATGATGAAATATGAGATTTTTATTAAGTTTCATTTTCCATCTTTTGGGAAAGCTAGGATACTAATCAACTTTTTATGTTGTTTTATTATTTGGTATCCCCATCACCCCAATGGATCTAAAATAGAACTTAGTGAATCACATATCCATTATGATAGTTTTAAAAAGTTTGCTTTTGCTTTAGAGATTGAATTAGATTTTTCTTCTTTTAATGTACATTTCTTAAAAAAAAAAAAAAAGAGTATAAGGTAGATATTTTTTATTTTTATGCCATCATATCCGTTGTTGCCCGGCATACCGCTTCTCGCCGGACCAAGGGCGTGACACATGGGACCAGTCACAGAGAAGAAAATGTCAGAGCAGTGATGGCGAGAGCAATCAGAAGCAGAGAAAACTAAAGGAGACGGGGGCGGCACGGGGGAAACAAAACCCTAGCAGAGCACATGCGTCGGTAACCTATGAAAGGGTTCAAGTATCATCAATAGGTTTGATAAGCGGGATCTTATAACTGTGGATTCGCCCACGGTTTTTTACATCAAAGTGTTGCTATTCTTTCTTATTGAAAATCTTTACCTTGATTTTTAATTTGTGCGTTGAAGTTCTAACATGAAGTATTGGCCTTGTGTGCTCATGGTTTCGTATTGTAATTGGTTGAGATTTAAATATTGAATTGTATTCTTCCTGAAATCCTGAAAATGTAAACCTTGACGTCGGTTTTTCCCCGAATTTTGATTTTTTTTTCTTTTAATTTGGGAATAGTTCCTGTTATAAGCTCCATGTTGTTGAGTTTATTGGTTGCTGAAAAGAGTAGTAGCTGCTGCTGCCTGTCTGGTTTCTGTTGGCTTATTTTTTGGAAAAAATTTGTAACTGGATGTTATGATATAAATTTGTCAGGTTGGATTCGAAGTTATTGCTTTGATTATGAGATGAGTGTATCATATAAATAATTAATTAAAATTTATTTTTTATTAATTTAAAATAAATTTATTGAATTTGAAATTCATTATGATGAAAATTCGTCAAGTTATACTGACCCAATATTTTCTTTGTTTAATGATGCCAATTAAGATTAGAAAAGAGACTTTAACTTTCTTATTATTTTTTTTCTGTGGATCAGAGGTGTTTCAGCTATAGCTATTGAACATTGTCAAGTAGCAGAAGACAAACATAGTTTCTTGGAAGGAAAAATTATTAGGTGCGGAGATACGGTCCGCCAATCACGTGAAATAAATAGTTGGAGGTATATTTCATGCAATATATCATCTGAATCTAATAATTTCTCATTTGCTAACAGATCAATCCATAAAGCATTAATTCTACTAAAACAATCGATACAACCTTGTAATTTCCAACATCGTTATGTATGGCCGGAAAGCTCTCTATTTAGCATACTGATTGGTTTCATGTTGTAGAAATCGAAAATGATATTTTCTTAGCTCATAAAAGAATTTTTTTTTAGGATTTCTTCAACTAAATTCTTTAAGATAGAAGATATTTTCATTGAATTATAAGGTACTTCTCTATAGTTTTTTTGTTAATTCCAATCAATCTAGGTTAGTTATTCTTTTTTAGGCGAAAACAAGTCTGATTAAACACAATTATTATATCAAATCTAATCTATATGTTAAAAATCTTATATTTAATCTAAAAAAAGGAAAAGAAAAGAATACCCATTTTGTTATTAAAATAATAACAATGTGTTTAACAAATTTATTATTTCATTTACAAATCAAATCAAGCGAAAAACAATAGAAAAATACCACATACTATATACTTTTGTAGAATCACAGGGTAGAAATTATTGTCTCTTCATCTGCTTTATAATTTATGTCCTGTTGGCTTTGGTTGGTGGCGCCTTCTTCTGGAAGAAATCTGTTATGGCCCTGAACCACGTGGCATTGAGAATTAACTCTTTTACAACCTATGATTGCATGCTAATATTTCTAACATATGTATAAAAAAACATATGCAAACAATGACGTCAGGTGTCGGTCTGCCTTCTTGATGTGAATGATGCTAAATCCTTTAAGATATCTCACCTTTGTATCCTTGACTCTGCCTTCCTGTTAGCATTGCAACAAGGAACTGTTATTATCTTCTTCCTCTTGTTAGCCTTAGTACAAGTCTGTAAAGTTTTTCCAGAATGCTATAGAATAGGTAGGTTATTGCTTGCAATACTCTAAGGAGTGCGCACACTTGCCTCTGAGGTGGTGGCTGTCGTTGAGCCTGGCGGTTCACCTTGACTATCTGCTGCTGCATGGTGCTTTCCTGTTGGGATGCTACTGTGCTTGATGACTGCATCATTCTTACCTGCAACACAAGAATTGTTCCACAATTTTGTGATAAATTAAGTAATTCTTAGTTTAGCTAAGCATTGGAGAGATATCAGCTAACCAAATTTCTGAAGTGGAGACTGTAGAACATTTGGATGTATCTTTGTTTAGCTTGCTTCTCTTCCTTGTTCAACTGTTTCCAGAAGCCATATATGGATCCCATATTTAGTGCTTTATTGGCATATATCTTCCAGGTGTAGCTGTCAACAAATTCTTCATGAGATGTCTCACATATCGCTATGTTATTGAGTTTCAAAATGCTACCTTTCATATATTCTTACAAGTCCCGCTGTGGAGTACTTGTGCCAGTAGCTGCTATCCGCTTTGCATTTCTCAAAGAAATCTGCTATTTTATTGCTTGCTTCTTCTCCATTATTCGGATTGATGTGGAATCCAGAAACACCATCAATTATTATCTCGGCAGGGCCTCCCTGGTTTGTTGCAAAGGTTGGTAGACCACAGTTCATTGCTTCTATGACTGTGAGCCCAAATGCTTCATAAAGAGCAGGCTGACACATTTCATAACTTATTGCACGATTAGATTTTACTTAAACTCTGTTAGGATACAGATGTGTTTAAACAAAAAAATTTAGAATTGACCAAACCTGCACAAAAACTCCTCTGCTATCTGCAATACAACGATATAGCTCACTGTTTCTGTACCGGTCAGTCTGTGCTGCTATCCATCTGAACTGACCCTTCAGTTTGTACTTCTCAATCAAGGAATGCATCTTCTGTATCTCATTTATCTCTTCTCTATCCTTGGACTTTGAGGTGTCTAGCAAGCCTGCAACCACAACAAGGTTTGCAAGTTCCCTTAATCTCTTGTTCTTACCATACCACTCAGTCAATCCACTTATGTTCTTCACGGTGTCAAGTCTTGCCATTGAGAAAATGATTGGTTTCTTGCTATCTGTCAGATATCCACTGCATCCATGCAGCAACGTATTATTAGAAAAAAAAATTAAGATTTAACGGCAGGTTTTTCAGCGAAGGGCTTACATATGCTCATCATTTTCCACTTGGCTATATAAAAGTTCCTCAATAGCTGGATGGAAGTTCGTCAAGCGTTTTTGCTTCTGTGTGTGCGGGAAATAGACTGATTGGTCTGCTCCTGGGGATGCTATGTTGAACTTGGGATTAAATACATTAATGCCTGCAACGAATCGAGATAGTCCAGGAAGAGTAAATGCATAATGGCTCTCATATTGGCCTGGTCTGTCTTTACTGCAAGAGTAGAGATTTTTTGTTTTTGATCATACTCATTTAGTCATGGACAACTGATGATAAATAAATATCATTTCAACAAACCTTCCTGCGATTTCTTGGTAAGTGCTTGTGATAATGAAATCAGCAGAATTCATAGCAATCATGTCGGCGGTGAATTGACATGAGAAGTGATACTTTTGGTCTAATTCCTTCCATTTGATGTCTGAATCTTCATACTTGGTTTTCTCTAAAGCATGTGCAATTGTTCCCTAGTTGTGAAAGGTCATCTCAGATAATTGTTTGTGCAATTAAGCAATTGAGAGATTGCAACAGTGTTTAAACAAGTAAAAAGAATAACGCTCCATTCCTCAAACAGACTTTCTTTTCCAAATTAACTTGTTTATCCTAAACAGTTTGTAACAATAACCAATAGGTTAACTTATAAACAAGCTATATTTTTTTTTATATATAAATATATTCAAGTACATTGATAGATATATTTGTCAATATAATTTTTTTTGTTGTCATGCATGTAAAATTTCTTTGAATTGGCTTTTATAATTTAAAATAGAATGATTTGAGGGATAGAGAGTTTTTGAAAAAAGGTGAAGTAGATTAAAGTCTTTGCATCGAATTTAGCTTTCTTCTTTTGACTGAAACGATAATCATAATTGTTATTTTTTGTTAGTATGGTAGTTCATAGGCTCGAATGCAGCTTGCCCACAGCTCAGTGCATATTGAATGTAGCATTACTCAAAAAAATACTGATGATGACTAGAAAAAAAAATACTTATGATGACTGTTTAATATTCATCATTTATTACCTGAGTTATTCCAAGCTTACTTGCCATGAGAGAGGCAACCAAGTTACCATCCGTGTAGTTTCCAATTATTAGATCTGGTTTTCCTTCCAAGTGGTCAAGAATCTTCTCACATGCATCCTGACCACCAAAAATCATATGCGCATTCATTGAATCCATCAACAGATACTAAAAAAAAAAGAGGGTGCGGCAATGGCTGAAAAAGCTTGATACTGTTTACAAAAAACGTACTTCAGCATATCTCTCCAGATAAGGGTATATATCGAATCGAGATACCCAGTTCTTTAGAACACCAGTTTCTGTCTTGAATGGTACACGGAGAATATGAGAATGCTTTGTGTCGAGAATTGGCTCAAGCTCCAGATTGCATTTAGTTCCCTGGGATTCAGGTATCAGTCTTGTCACCACAAGGATCTGTGGTTTTACAGATAATCCTTGTTGTTTAATCCTAAGAAGCAAGTCTTCTTCAATGGCTCTAACTTGGTCTAAGATGTATACCACCTAGGTCAGAAAGCAAGAGTCTTTAGCTTTAATGGAAACTATGAGAGACTACCACATCACTATTTTATTCTAGCAAAAGTTCTATACCTGACCACCAGTATCAGGCAAGCCAAGTACATCAGCTTGCCCAAAATAACCATGAATCGAGAATATCACAATGTTGAATACTGCAGGGACCCTACTAAAGAATTTCTCCAGGTTTAGTGGATCAGGTGCCTGAAGCACCTCTGAGAGACAATTGAGTGTGTCCTTTACCCTCTCTGCAGTATCGCCCCATCCTTTCTCTAATCCCCACTCCTCAAATCTGCAACCAAAGGAGAGGAAGCTATATATGTAGGGATCTATTAACTTCATTTCTATTACTCAAGAAGATATTCAGATAATTCACCTTTCCTCAAACTTTTGAAATGGTGTATTCTTTGCAATACCAGAAACGAACACCTCCGCCAAAAGCAGCGCAGTCTGAAGCTTGTTGACAGTGTTGAGTGTACTATTGATCATGAGATTCTGCAATTAATATTTTCATTAGCATTCTTTGGCAACCAACTGCAACCCAACTCAGTTATCTGGTTTCTTACTTCTCCACGGTAATTCAGAGCTAGCAAGTAGTCCAGCAATGGCTTCATGCTGTCAGATCTTTCATTGAGCTTCGAGGATAAGAATCTTGCCAAGGACTGTGTGCCATTTCCTATGGATGATGGCAATGTCAGGTGCGGCGTTGATAGATCAAATGCTCCAAAATCTATCTCGAGTGCATTATCATCCTTCGCCCTGCGGAAGCCCAATTTCGATGGGTTTAAAAGGGAACGAAACATAACAGTATAAATAGCATTGATGTAAATTTGGTACGATTTCTCATCAAAAATCAGTTCTTTGAACTTTAAGTAGTCGGCAGCTGTTATTCCATCAACGGATAAGTCATCTGAGTTCACTTTGACATATTCCCATATGCCAGGATGAGGCCGAACTGCAAACGCCACAAATGGCGGGAGAACCACAGCTTCCTTTGAAATTACAGAAAACATTATAGATATCAGTTTTTACTGCTCAGTTTTCAAGAAAAAATAAAGAACCCTTAGACAGTATTCAACCTGGGTGGAGAAAATTATGTAGCCAAGTAAGCCTTCCATGAGCTTATTCTTTTCAACCTTGTCATCCATTGATTTCTCTAACTCTTCCATCAGCTGCTGGTTCTTCATCAGTCTTTTTCCTTTGGAAACGTACCTAACCAACCAACAATGTAATGGATGAAATGATACTTTTGTTCATGAACACTTGATATGTGATGCATGAAGTGGTTGAAGTACCTTGCAAAGCAACGCTTCATTTGGTATCTGCTCTGCTTGAGGGCCTCTGGCATGCTGTCGGCGATGCTATCGGATCTCTTGAAGCTAAGAGAGGCAGCCATTTTTGAAGCTTTAACTTTGAATCAATACAAAGTGGTGGCTAATTTCAAAGCCGTGGATGCAATGGGAATGAAGGGAGGGGCGTTTTATAGGAAATGGCTGTTGTCTTGGAAGGCTTCTTGGATTGTTTGGCTGGGCTTCCTTTGCTTTGATAGAGGGCTTGGGAGAGGGAAAGGAAGAAGGAGAAAGAACATTTCATGCTTAAGTAATGGTGAAGTTAAGTTGCAGGGCAAGGAAGGTACTTTTTGAGAGACTACTGCTGTATTCCTTGTTCGGTATGCTAAATTCAATTCTTAGATTAATAAGGATGTTGAAGTTTTATTATATGCTTTATTGAAAGTGATGCTGTGGAATTATAGCCTTCATGTCTTCAATACAAAAGAATGTTAATTCATGGGATACTAATGCATATATTTGGATTCGTAGAAGTTTTAGGTGAAACGATCATCTTTTGCATGTGTGAAGTTTATTAATATTGATATATTAGGCTTCGTTTGGGACGGCTTTTGATGTGTTAACTGTACCAAAGAGTATCCAAGTAACTGCAATCAAGAACAATGAAGCAAAAAAAGCACAAACGAAATAGGAATTTTGAGAATTGGATTTATTATCTTCTCTTCCCTTCTTATGTTTATATATATATATATATATCAACTTTTTCCCGTTTCTATCTTTACTCAATACAAGTAAAAAAGCTATCCGATACTATGTTAGCTAAAAGAAAAAAGCAGTTACTAGGTAGTGAAGGTTAGAATAGAAAATAATAGTGGATTGTGGAATGTGTTTGATGAGCCCGATTTATGGAGATGCGCTGCATCAGGTCTCCCTTACTATCGAAGAAGTCACAACACGACTTTGGATGGTATTGAGTTCATCGTGTGGTTGGTAAGCATGAATGTCAGCTGAATTTAAGGTGGAAGATGTGTGAATGTGGGGTGATAAATCGACTACATAAGCATTTTCATTTATGCGTTTGGCAATGGGAATTGTTCGGATCTTGTGTGGACCGAGTTTTGAATATTGCCCTGTTGGGAAGCGCTCATTGCAGAGCCTGATTAGAACTAGGTCTCTCGGTTTGAAAACTTTCTTGCGTCTTTGAATTGAGTATTAATCTCCATAAGTTTAACTTTCACTTTATGTATGATGGAACTATGTTGATCGGTAAACTGAGTAATGCTTTATTTTTGGCAGAACTACAATATCTATAAGGTGATTAGGTGGCTTTGTATGGACAATGCTGAATGGGAAGCAGTTGGTTGAGCGATTTGTCATAGAGCTATAGGCAAACTCAGCTTGCCCGAGCACCTCTTCCTATTGTTTAGATCTATTTTGAACTAAATAGTGGAGTATATTAGCCAGCGTGCGTTTAACCACCTTGATTTGTCCATCTGTTTGTGGGTGATACGTTGAGCTAAGCTTGATTTCAGTGTGCAGTTGGCTCCATAATTCCCTCCAAAATGACTAATGAACTTTACATCTCAGTCTGAAGTTATACTATGAGGCAGTCCGTGTAAATGAACAATTTCTTTGAAGAATAAGCGAGCCACTTCGATTACGTCAAATGTCTTTCTGCAAGCTATGAAATGTGTCATCTTTGAAAATCGATCAACTACCACTAGAATGGAGTCAGTGCCACATTTTTTTTTGGTAGCCCCAATACAAAGTTTAAGCTGATGTCCTCCCAAATCAAATCCAGTATAGGTTACGCCATGTACAATCCGGTGTTTTGACTGACACCTTTGAATTCCTGGAAAACAGGCATGCAGTCGACTGACCATGTTATGGTTGTTTATAAACTGAAGTGATTTGTGATCATTGCACAATACAAAGTTTTGATGAAGTAAGTAGTGCTCCCAATGTTTTAAAGCTCTTACCACGGCGTATAATTCTTGTTCATACACAGTCCATTTTTGCCAGCGAGGAATTAGTTTCTCATTGAAATATTCTATGAGCTTATCTAGTTGTGATAAGACAACACCAATTCTGACAGCAGAGGCATCGATGTCGACCTGAAATGGCTTCTCGAAGTCAAGTAAAGCTAATACAGGAGCAGAGCTTAAGGCAGTTTTGCTGCAGTCGAAGCTTCTTTGCTGTTCATCCATCCATGTAAGGGTCTTCTGCTTCAAGCAATCAGTAATATGTGCCATAATAAGGATGAATCCACGTATGAATCATCAATAGAAGTTGGCAAGTGTGTGGAAGCTGCAAACATGAACTAGTGTTTTTGGAGTTGACCACTCCATGATGGCCGCAATTTTTCATGGGTCGACCTTCACTCCTTAGCCAACCCAATGAAACCAAGCAAGTAAACTCTGGTTATAGCAAACTCACATTTGGGGATGTTAAGCTATTATCGATGAGTCCTCAAAATTTGAAAAATTTCAATCAAATGAAATAAATGTGCTTCTAATGAGGCGCTAAAAATAAGGATATCGTTAAGATAGACCACACATTTTTCCCCGAAGTTGTTTTAATACCTCATTCATCAGTCACATGAGCGCCGTAGGGGTGTTGCATAAGCCAAATGGCATTACTCTCCATTCATATGACCATTGACGTGTTTTAAAAACTGTCTTCCATTCATCTCCAGGACAGACTCGGATTTGATATCTACTTTTGAGATCTAATTTTTAGAAGATTCTTGCTCTAGCTAACTTGTCCAAAATTTCATCAATGCGGGAAATGGGAAGGCGATACTTCATTTTAATCTTGTTAATTGCATGACTATCAATGCACATCTTTCATTTGCGGTCTTTCTTGGGTAGCAAGAGGGCCTGGATTGCACACGGACTTAGACTCGATTGTATGAGTTGCTTCTCTAAAAGCTCCTCAATTATCTCGTGTCAGATGCTATGCTCTATGGGACTCATTTTATAATGAGGGAGATTTGGTAGTATTGCCCCTGCTGTTAATTCAATTTGATGTTGAATATCTCGCAGTGGAGGAAGTACGACTAGTAACTTTGTTGGAGAAACATTATCAAACTGCTTTAATAAGTGTTGGGTAGAATCTGACATTATTTCAGTAGATTTGGCAGGTTGGGTGTCTGTAACAATTAAGGCTAAAATTTCATCATCTACATGGTCACCCATTATTAGAGCATGCCCAACCAAAATATCAAGGGCCGTTTTGGGTTCTTTGTGGCTATGTTTGGAGTCAGCCGAGAAAGGTAATAGCCGAATTGTCTTATCTTTCCAATCAAAGGAGTATGTATTGTGTCTGTAATCATAAGTTGCTCCTATATCATACTACCACTGTCGACCTAGTATAATGTGGCCAATGTTCATATCAATTACATCACACAACACCTCACACATATATTGCTTTCTATTGGAAAATGTAATCCAACACATTTCTGTAACTAAAATCTCCATACCCTTCTCAACCCAGTTGATTTTGTAAGGGTGGGAATTCTTTTCTCTTTTCAATTGCAGAGCTTGAGTAAGTGAATGGGATATTATGTTCTCAATACACCCATTGTCAATAAGAAGATCACATACCTTTGTTCAATGGTACAATGATTGCGGAAAATGGCATTCCTCTGAGAATTGACAGGTTTTCGTGGATCCAATAGTAACCTCTCCAACACACATACGACAATATCACCTTCATCCTCCTCTAGTTGTTCAGTCTTTGCTTCATGGTCCTCATTATCCTGGGCATCAGCACTCTCACATTCCTCTTTGACTAGTTGAATTCAAGGCCGTGATGGGTGTTTGTTGGATTTGTGCTTAGGTTGAAAACACCTGAAATATTTGTAAGTGAAGGGCGTCGAATATGGATTTTCCTTGCCTACATGACGGGGTTTGACAAGTTTGTGATCGAAAGGCAAGCTGCTATTCGGTCCTGGTAGAGGAGGAACCTGATGTTGTATGCTGGTTGCGGGATAGCCCTTTGCTCACTGGATTGATCAGCAATGTGCCAATGACTGGAATGACTGCGGGATTACCATGCTAACTACATTTCTTCTTTCAAATCGAAATAGATAGCTTGAGAGAGTGACCATATAGAATTTAATTCTATTTTCTCTTGCATATTATCTCTCAATTCGTTAATGTATTGGGCCACCAATTGATTTTCTGACTCATTGTGATTATTCCTCGCACTAAGACAGTAGAATTCTTCAGTGTAGTTTGTAACACTACAATTTCCCTGGACACAGTGTTGATATAGTATATACAGTATTTGTTCAAAATCCTAGGGAGATAATGGCCTCTCAGCAGCTGTTTTATACGAAACCAACTGCGAACACCTCCCTTTCCTTCCCTTCATCGTGATCATAGAAGCTACTGCCACCAAGCGCTTGCTCCCCCCTTCAGTCTACAAGAGACGTACTTGACTTACTTTTTAATAGGAATCTCCATATATTTGAAAAAGGCCTTGATCGCCCTCCCCCAATCTAGGAAATTCTCTGTGTAGTTTGTCATTGAAGAATGGAATATCATGCTTAACATGAAACTCACCATTTGGTCTATGATGATGATCGTTCGGTTGTCTATGTTGATTTTGCATCACCCCTTCACCATCATCGGAGTCAGAATAATTGAAATGTTACGGGGGTTCTACCTCATCCCACGATTCAACCAGCTCCAGAATATGGCCGACCCATTGCCGTCCTAGGCCATGGCTGATTGTGTTTCTGTGAATTGGTTGTACATAACTGGTGCTACACGGCACACCATCGGGTTCACCATTCCTCAATCTATGTTTGTTTGCATCTTATGTCAATTTTATACGATGAATCCATAGAAATTGGCGAAGATATCTTCCGCTGCCTCACTATTCTGGTGTGTTCCACCCAGAGGGCCTCGATGCTCT